GGGGGGGGGGGGGGGTCATTAACCGCAAATCTCACCTCTGGATGTCCTCAAAAATGACCTTTTTTGTATTTTGCCCTTACTGAACAGTTCACACATATCTTTTAAAATGAGTGATGAATATGACCAATGTATACTTAAAAAAAAGTTACAGACTACACCAGAAAAACAACAGAGCAAAAAGCTGGCCTCCGATCGGAAAGTTAGTCCTATCAGGGACCTTTGTTGCTTTTTTAATCATTTCCTATCATCACTTTTTTGCGTTTATCAATTTTTTTTTTTTTCTTGCCGGTCAAATGTCCGGAAATACTTTATTTTACCGGACGAATTCGAAACTTACCAGTCATGTTTCAATAATAATAATAATAATAATAATAATTGTGTAGCAGAGTTTCCGTTAGCAGGTATTACCGGACTATGACCGGATATGCTGATGTTTAAAACTCAGTTAATGGTGCTCGTTTTTATATTGCTTCAGTAACAGATCAAAAATGTCAGATTCATTTTTCACAAAAGTATATGCTTCCACAAACAACAAACAACATAATTATTACATTCAAACAAACTACTTATAGTAGATGAAGTACATTATTCAAAAGTTTACATTAAGTTTGAATAATAACACGGAAGGAACGGAGCCTCTCTCTCTCTCTCTCTCTCTCCCTCCTGACAGCCGGTCAGTATCCAGCTCGCTAAACAGAGGGCGGAGCTTCAGGTGCATTATGCAGAGCTGTGTGTCTCCGTCAGACTCAGACTCAGCAGCTGATCTCTGATCTCTCTCTCGCGTCCGGTTATACTTCACTCGCATTTATTTCCATATCGATCAGTTCCAGCTCTCCTGATCGGCCGTTATAGAGAGCACCGATCAAATTAGGAGCGAATATCAGCCGATAATTATCGGCGGCCAATCGATCGTAGCATCCCTAATTATTACCGGACATTTTGACCGGCAGGTTTTAAATTTACAGTTTTTTAAATCAATTTTACCAGCTAAAAACCGGTAATTACCGGCTAACGGAAACCCTGATATATATATGTATGTAATTGGTGTTAAGACCACTTATAACCTTAAATCACTTTCCCATCAACTGTGCTAGTGGTACTATTGAACTGTATTGAGTTGCATAAAGGTGTGTCGGTTGTTTCGCCAGATCACATTGACATAAATGGGTTGCCTATCGGTATAACCGCACCGCATAGCTTCATATCACCATAACTTAAAACATTTGGAAACATATAGATTTAGGGACAAACACAAACATCATAATTACAAGACTGTCCTCATTTCCTCACCAGATTAGTGAAGTAGTAACCATCCTCTCCCGTCATCAGTCTGCTGGGGTTGCTGAAGCGGGTGATGTACTGGATGTTGGACTGCAGTCTTGGAGGGTTTGCTTTCAGCACAATGTAGATGAGTGTGGGGAGGAAGTCATCCGCAGACGCAGCCTCTTTCTTGCTGATTTTGATGGCGTTGAAGATGTGCTTGCTGCAGCGAGTGATGCACGACAGTTTCTCCTTGGGAACGCGCTTTGAATCCATTTCAATCACATCTGAAATGATGCAAAGATTTGAGAAGTCATTTAATCTGAAAATGTAAGCGGATCTCTTTTGCCAAAATAACAACGAGTTGTCCTTCTGTAAAAAACGTACCTGTGATGGCTTTGACTACACTGTCTGACACCTCAGCGATTTCCTCTTCTACAGGAACACACAGCATCTCAATGGTGACCCAATGCAAGGCTCTGTAACAGAACACCATAACGTAAGAAAAGGTTGCAATTTCACCTGCAATTGTATTTTCTTGTGCTCAGGAGAGATGCCGAAAAAATGAATAATTGAGTAGCAAAATTAGGAATAATACATCATCGTGTTTGCTAACCTGATTCTCTTCTGAATGGCAAGGTCTTTCTTCTCATCGTCTGTAGTCTCAGGACAGAAGACTTCTTTGTAAAGACGAGTCATCATGTACTTCTCTACTTCATCCATAACACTCTCTACATGATCTGATGAACCTAGGAACGGAGGCACATAAATCAAAGATATACAGAGCTTATTACAGTGCTAATGTTACTGATATTAATTATTTATATTCTACTGAAAATGTAAGAGTTAGGCAGTACCTTTGAATTGGGTGTGGAGGCGGTCTGAGAGATTCTGGTAGAAATCCTGCACACACTCTGACAGCTCATCAGCTGCCATGTCCTGGGCAAATAGAAATTGAAGATTCAGATTACATTTGTTTGAATATCATAACTTAAAATACTGTAATGGCACAGGGATAGACATTTAAACCTAGACCACATATGACACAGTAATACAATATGTAGCACAACATTTTAACCATGTTATTAGTTTAAATGGTGCAATTTCAGACTATTTTAAATGTTAACATAATGACAACTCCTTCAATGACTGAAGGTGCAACAATCCCAATTACAAAAACTTGTTTTCACTTTAATAAAAATGTGTGACAGTTGGTGTTGCACAGTGAACAGTATAATAATTAACACTGGTGGAGAGTAGACACATGGTACAATCCTAAATGACTTGAAAATCTTTATTGCTAACATTGCTGTACTTGAACAAAATCAAAAGTAATTTGTCAACAGGTTGTCTATATTTGCAAAACTAATCATACATAAGGATGAAATGGTTCCTACAAGCTCATTAAACTCAAAAACATGATGAGTTATCCACTCTAGCTCACCCGCTTATAGACCATGCTCTCAGTGAAGGCCCGGCACTGTTTGAAGATCTCCCTGCCAGACTTCAGAGGCTTGAGGAAATCAATGAACTCTCTCGTTGCATGGTCACTGTCCACAGAGGAGTGCCGGCTTGTGGAGGAGCTGGGGCTTGGGCTGGAGTGAGCATCAAAAGGAGAATCTAGGAAAATACATTAAATTAGTTTAATCAAACAGATTAAACAGGTCAGAGGACATCAGCCTGGAATACAAAATTAATATTACCACAAGTTAAAAAGTTTGATAAATGACATGTATCAATTGCAGTTAAGTATGTACCTTTTTTTGGTGGTGTTTTTGAGGAGGGAGTAAAAAACTTTGTAACTGTGTTGACTTTGCTGGACTTTTCCTTAGTTTTTCTTTCCACAAACTTGCCAAAGGGTGTGATGGTAGGCTGTGATTGGGCCTTTTGATTTCTGCTTGTGTATGCTTCCTCTTCCTCTTTTTGCAGCCTGGGGGGGAAGAAGACAGAGTAACTGCGGTATTGTTCAGATGGAATGACAAATGATGGGATAAAGGAACAAAAGACACTGTACTTCGGGATCACAGAGAGACAGACGAACCTTTCAGCAAGTGCCCAGTCTTCTTTAATCTGTTTTTGCTTTTCTCGTTGATTCTCCTCTCGCCAGCACTTTGAGCAAAGGCCCTGCCAGCCAGTGTTGCCATAAAAACCACATCCTTTTGTGCAAAGCAGCTCTGATTGGTCCAGATGGATCCCACGCCGCTGGCTCATCATCCTTAGAAGTTAAAACACTGCCGAGGCCACAAGAAGACAGACAACTTTAAAAACAAAAAACAAACGTGAGTGCCAACAGCAATGAAGTGTAAAAAGGAGAATTGTCGTGTGTATAAATAGAAAAACCTCGCTGATTCTTAATCCATTTAATGTGCGTATGTGTGTAATTCATGATTGAATCTACTGCATTGACTGGTTAACTATCATTAACTAAGCTAAGTCCAAAACCCACCACAGTCGTTAAACAAAACCGGCGAAAATCTATAGTAGTTTTATTGTAGCATGGCCAAACGTGCTAACGTTAACCTAGGCCCTGACGGCTTTAACTTGATTTATTTTTGAGACACAATACATCCAGTAAAACAGAATGTCTCTAGTTGTGATGACCTTTTAGCATTAGCTTATCTGACAGCTTTCTCAGTTACAACAACTCAATAACTGAATATCCTTTCAAAACAGCGTTGTCTTAAAACATACCATCCTGAAAGATTTTATAATGTTTTGTAACGCTACACAAGCATGTCCACAGAAGTGTTACTCAAAAACGCAATATACAATCTAATCTGCAGCTAGCTACCAGTGTTTACCTGTGCTAATTACATAGCTAGCTACGCGAACTACATGAATCAACGATTTGTTAATAAACGTGCATAAGTGTCTACGTGAGTTTTGTGTCAACATACACTCTCATTCGCAGTGTGACGAAGCTATCGCGTAACGTTATCGTCGCTCCAGCTCCAGTCTAATGTAGGTGGATGTTTACATTAGCCGAGCAGCTAGCTTCGTCCCTCAGCCATTTTGTCTGTCAGTTCTTCTTCTTCTTCTGTTGTTTTAACGGCGGATGGCAAACAGCTTTTAGGTGCATTTACCGCCACCTTCTGGAATGTAGTGCAGATCAGCACGGTATAATGGTCCTCTAAAATAAAATAAAATACTGCCCTGTATGCTACATCCCCTGAACTCCTTAGCAAAATCTATTTTATATTTGCTAAAAACGGTCTTGCTGGTATTTTGGAAATTGCAAAGAAAGTTTTTCAATATTCACATTTGCCTGATGCATTTTTTATAAAGAACAAAAAGGCTATTTAGCCCTTTGTGACCAAATCTCATTCTGGAAATGATGTCCTAGGAAAAAGAGCTATTTGTTTTGCTCCTGTTGACTTCTCTTGTGTCTGTCTTGTTTCTCCTAAATTGTTTATTGTATTATATCTAAACTGTATTAAGTACCATTCAATGGTAATAGCTGCTTTCACACCAAGTACTTCTGACTGAAAATAAGTGCCTTAAATGTTTGTAAATGACATTTAAAAAATAACAAGTTGTTTGTTTTTTAGTATGCCACAATGCAGGTGGTATTGCCCTCTAGCGTTTCCACATTGCAATTATCCACCTTATTATTACTGTGGTGGTGGAACACTTTGACTTTAAGATAGAAAAGGAGATGGAGCCAGCAGAAAGATGTTCTCTGGGTAACACTGTTTAGTTGAACTGGTCGACATTTCTTCATCATAAATCTATTGAAGTTGTGTGACAAACGACTTTGATGCTTTCATGTTCAAATGTGTTTGTTGGGTATTAAGCTGGTGTTGTGGATAATCGACCACAGGAGGGCTCCAGTCAGAGAGCACAGGCTCATCAGATGGTTTTAAATGTCTTTACTTGTCAGGACATGGATGTAGATACGGTACATCATGTTGTTGTACATGCACGAATAATAGACCTAAAGAGAATAATTGGGGAATTGGAGAATTGGGGAAATGGAGAAATGGAGAAGTTTATCATCAGTGACTTCTCTGTCAGACTCCTGCAATGCTGCGAAAGCATAATAAAGTACGAACGGCTCAAACAGAAACAACCTGCATAACAAAATAATAGCCCATTTCAAATAAGACCATCTGAACATGAATAATTCTTAACAGTGTTGTAGATAAATATATGTGTCAATGTGCATGAGGTAGGGAGAACTTAATCCTATTTTTAATACACTGTATTCAGGAGATTGACTTAAAAAAAACTACAGCATTCATGTTTATTGGAATAAGGAAAATGTCACACAGTGCAAAAATGTTGCTCATTGAATGGAGAATGAAAATACATCAGGCTTTGTCTAAAAGTTGTTGGTAGTATCAGTTCATTGAAGGTTTTGTTCTTCTGACAGGAATTGTTGACAGTAATATAAATACAATATTACCAGCACAGAAACATATTTCATGTTGAAAGCAGTCTGAAAGCAGTGATTTTGTCTTTTGCTGTTTGAAGAGAGTTTCTCAAGAGGAGCAAAACTGCTCTTTCACACTAATACTGATGATGTATTTTGGACAGAGGAAAAGGGAAATGAAGATGCTCATCATTCATTATTTAGCAATTTCACTCAAATCACAATTTTTTCACCTGAGCATAAAAATGTATTCTTTAAAAATATATAATTTATTAACACTATTTATTTCCATTTAAACTCATTTTATTAAAGCATAAAAAACCGAAAACCTCAATCATCTTATTAATTAAAAATAAATAAATAAATAAATCAACCAACAAATTATTATTGGTTTAGCAACCAAGCAGAAGACCCCATAATTAAGTAATTGAAATTAACACGGATTTGAACTAAATATGGTTTCTTAAACTGGGAAAACATTATACAATTTGCAGACATGTTACTATATACAATTGTAAAAAAGCTTATAGAAAAAGTACCTTTGGCAGTCAGCCTTTTCCTATTGGGCAGCATACAGTAGGTATACCCACATAACTAAGGAACATTCTTTAAGTCTTTTTCCAAATCTGTATAACTGGACAATCAAACATGCTGTCTGGACTAGTGTTCATATCACATGTTTGCATACTTGCTCTATCTCTTTGCGATAGTGTGTCTGTTGTGGGGTTTTTAAGGTCTTCAGTTACAAGTTTAAATTACTTGTTACAAGTGTTCAAGTTCATGGTGATACTGTGTTATTTTAATTAAACCATCAGCGATTATGGGCCCTTATTATCTGGCACATTTTGTTAACATAATTGTTCAGAAAACATAAAACTATCTTGCAGATTTCAAACTATAGCATTTAAAAAAAACTTCACTAAATACACCCGTTCTGGCAGGGATATTCAACACGTTTTAAATGCCACACAACATTAAATCCTTCACTCCACACGTTGTATTTGTTCATGTTCATGCAAACTGAACATTGTAAACTGTATTACGTCTACAACTATCCAATGACGATTGGATAGCATTTGTGGGTTGAGCCACACATTGTACAACTGCAGCAGTAATAAAACTCAGTCCTGTGCGGAACTGATCATGCCTCTCCTCTCCACCAGTTTACGCACCCGTACCTCCCTGTACACAGGCTGTGGAAACTGTGTAGCGCGTACGTGTAACTTGCCGTGTGTTACGACAATTTTGAGAAATGGCAGGTAAGAGTTCACGGTCTAAATTAACTTTAAAAGTAGCCTAACTTTTGTGCATTTGCCGGAAATATGGAGGCGAACGCAAGCGTAATGTACCCGATCTGTTTTACTGTAAGTGGTATTGAGGGCAATGAAGAGGGTAGAGGTGAGGAATGTGATTTCATTCATTAAATTGATCTACAAAGTAGGCTATGTCAAAGTAAAGTTTGAGTTACCCTGCATTTTTGTACCGTGACGTGTGCTGTTAGTTTCACTTTGCTGGCGCTCATATCCTATCTATTTTCTGCCGTTGTTTGTCCATATAAAACATACAATGAAAATAAAACAATACCATTTAGCCTTTTTATGTATAACTAATTTCGATCAATCAGCTTTTTGTATAACATATAACTTTGTGGTAATGACTTTACCACATTTATATCAGTGATATGCTATTGTATGCTTATTCAATGTTAGTGGCCTGTAACTGCGTTACTGTGAACAATAACGCATTAGTTACTTAAAAAAAGGGCTCCCATTAATGCCCTTATAGCCTTCATTTCAGTACTGTTATTACATTGGAGAATAATACAATCTGTTGATCTAGAAATAGTAGAAATAGCCTGCATGTGTTCTACAACATACCGTGCAATGGCTTTATCAACTTTTCCCTGGCTAGCAGTCCCTCGGTTAAAATTCAGCCGCTGTTGCTTAGGTGGAGGTGGAGTGGCGTCGGATGAGGGTCTGTGGTCTTAGCTATAGCTTCGTCCCACCCAGTGGCGGAGCTGGGGGGTGGCTGGGAGTGGCAATGGCTACCCCCAGCTGAATCCTGGCCACCCTATTGGCCACCCCAAACACCCTCACCAAGGGGGCCCAAACTATTTTAGAACATTAAGAAGAAAATGTTTAGTAACCTTTCATCATTCATCAAGAATTAACATTAATATAAAGTTATTGATAATGTACAAACTTACAATTCATTTAACTTATTTTCTACCAGAAGTTAATTATCCAAAGCCTCTGTATACCCCCTTCTATTTACATGTAATGGTTTGGTTCTGCCTCCAAACGCGATGCAGCACCGCCGGCACTTTCTAGCAGAGAGTGAGAGCATGTTTAGAGCAGGGATGCTAGTACTTACGTGTGAACCATGTCTCAGCGACTCACAAAGTTAGGCTTTCAAAAAGAAAAGAAAGGAGAGAAAGACAAGAGAGAGGGACTAAAGGGCGACAA